GTCCAGGAGTTACATCAGAAGGCCCTTTCACTTCATTTCAAATTAAGACAGGGCAAAGCAAAATCTGATGCTTGGGCAATGACCCAAGAAACCCCTCTTTCATTTTAACATTGAAATTTAAATTCTATTTTAAGCAACTTAAATGTCCAGAGAAATTGCATGGTTGTGTTGAAGCTTCGTCTCCTGTATTCTTGTTTCCAGAAAGGCCTACACTAGTCCAAACAGAGCAGTTCTGTGTTAAAAATCTACACTAATTCATTCTGGCATTCAACTGGCCTCCCATTTTCTTTAGTATTATCTTCCTCACATATTAAATTATTATGAAGAATCTGAGTGAGGAAATTTCCTCACATGGATACAGTGGAAATAAATTAGTTGGTCATTGTCATTGGCACAATGTAGGCCAATAAATCACTTGCCTAAAGTGATGCGAACATTCTAATTCTTTTCCATATGACATCCCAGGCATACTGGTAAAATTAAAACTTGCTTCTTTTAAAGGTAAAAAAAAAAAAGTTAAATGTTAAAAATGTCATGAATGAAGCTTCTAAAATAATAACTGAGATTAATAGAGCCTACAGGGAATTCTGAACAATTTCAAATAACAGAGTCAAAAGAATCCTTCAGCTCACTTACCAGAAAGCAAGCTGAGAGCAGAGGTCGACGTCTGTGTAACTCCAAACTGCCCCACCCTCCATCCCTTAAAGCACTCAGCCGGCCCTCAACACTCATGGACAAGCTCCGCCTCCTACTAGTGTGGGCTTTCTTTACTTTGAATGTCATAAGGCAGGCCAGCAGTTAACACCGGAGTGACCCAGTGCCACCAGGCTGATTTAGCCACAACAGAAGGGATATTTGGTCACTGCCTACAAAGTTCTATGTTTAAATATAATGAAATCTAAACAAGGTTAAGGAAATTCCCCACGATTTGACCCATTTCTCCTCTAGAACAAAGAATTAAAGTCACCTACCCTCAACTTTCTCTGCAGAGAGGGCTGGTCACTTTTCCCAACTCTGAGGCCCACTCAGTGAAGCTGGCCCTGTCTTCCCCTCTTCCATCTGGGCCAGATGCACAAAGAGATTCAATAGCACCATTCCAAAAGTTATTTCCTCACAACACACTGTCCAGTTTTATCCTGGGGTCCCACGATTCCGGGTTGCAAGTCTGTCTTAGATTTCTTCTCAAAATGGAGGACACAGTGAGACACTTGATGCCTCCAAGGACCCAAACCTATAAAACCTTAACTGTGATTGGCCCTATTAGGAGCCATGCACCTGGAGCGAACACTCCATCTAACAAGATTCCTGTTTCTCAATGGGACCTGCTATTGGCAACACAAGGGTAGGAGGCAGCAGGCAGGTGTCGCCTCTGTAACAAAGCACCCTGGTGATGTGTGCAGCAGTGTGTGCCTCTCAGCTCACCTAGGAGCGCAGCAGGAAAAGCCACAAGCAGTGTATTAGGGGCAGGCTGGAAAAACTTAACAGTTGAAAAAGGACATTGGAAACACAGCAAGGTGGAGGTACACTTGACTGAGAAATCTAAGCCACTCCTACAAAAAGTCCCACCAGAACGCTTGGGAGTATTTTTCCTTCATTTCCCCTTAAATTCTCAAGTTCCAGCAGCTGCTGTCCTTGGCTCAAGCAAAGCTATACCTGTGAGAGACACAGGAAGGAGCAAAGCAGACAAGTTCTGAAGTGTTCACATGTGTTCATGTATTCTGTTCACATGAGGAGGCTGATGGTCAATTTGGTGCTTTCTGATCAACTTACTCAGAAAGGTGATGTCAAGCTCATCCCCTGGACCAATTATATTAGCTGAAATTAAGGTCAATACATGTAACATAATAGCAGAAGGCAAGAGGGATAAGACCGTAAGAGGTAACTCTTTGACAAATGCTAAAAATAGAGAATAGGCATTTCCACATACCATTTTCTAGAGACTTCAACCAATTTTGTATATGCAAAAAACAAAGAAGCAATGACACCAACACTTCCAGAAGGTTGAGCCCAGGGTGCTGTCCCAGTGTGTGTTTTGTGGAATTACAGGCCACGTGGAGACTGGTGGTCAGTCAGGATGGTACAAGCACAGGGTGTTGCTACCAGAATGGAACAGCCACTTAGGGAACTTGCGCATTACGCCCATAGCCACCTTCACAGATACTATCAGGCAACCTGAACCAGTGTCTGCAAAAATGTTTCTTTTTGGTTTTGGTGGTAGCTCCCAAAAAAGCCTGAAGTAATATGAGGCTTGCTGCAATTGTACATGCAGGTTAGGGCCTGCAGGCCAAGCTGCAGGTCACACAAGCCAAGCCACAAAGCATGGGAGGGGCTGGCACGTGCTGCAGTCAGATACCCAAAGGAGCAAACTCACGGAGGATAAAAATGCTTCCCCTCCTCAGATTCTAAGGCACAATTACTCTGGGAGAATGGGAAGGGCTAGAACACGGAGACCTTGCAAGCAGAGTTAGCCCAAAGAGCAGGATGACCTGGCCCTGAAGGGAAAGCAGAAGGGAAAGACTGGCAAAAAGCTTGTGGCTTGGGCAGCCCTGGCAGTGAGAAAACCCCCTTAACACCAAGCAAGGAAGCTATATATGTACAGCTACACACAGACGGAAGCAGGAATTTACCTCCAAGCAAGAGATTTCTTTGAAGTAAAGGCAAATGACGTCAGCAAAGCAAAGGCTGAGGATTCCCCCCCTTTCCAACCTTAAGGACTTTCAAGCTGAATTCTACATCAGAAATCACTGTTCTTATTAATCAGCGTGACTAGATGGAGACTGAAATTCAAGTACTGAAAATGGGTCTCATGTTGAGAGCTAGATGTCTCCTCGTTATATCAGACCTCAGCAGAAGTAGAACAAATACCACATGACACTGTACAATGGGCTTATGGAAATGAGGCTGCATTCCCCCAATGGCCCTCCATGGAGAAGTCTGTGCTGTTCCTTAATATGGTGACAGTCAGTCTGAAAAGCCATTTCTTTGATGCACCATAAAGAGCAAGAGCATGAGACAAGCTAGTTTAGCACCATTTATTAAGTAATCTCAGCTGTTGTTGTAGCTGCTGTGTATCAGCCTGTTCTTAAAACATAAAATGCTCTTCCAATTCCTCTTGTCCAGGACAGAAGAATCTTCCAGGTAGCACGCCAACAGAACAAGAGACTCCGATGATGCCAGCTTCAATGATGGTGCCATCCAGAGAGGGAGGGTCATGGCACATTCAACCGCGGCTTCCAGAGGTTTTGAAAAAGGAGCCTTTGGGGGCCCAGCCTGCCTGGCATTCTAGTGGAAGTGCAAAAGGTTGGCACATTGGGAGAGGAAAGAGGGAGACGCAGGCAAAGTAGCATCTGGGTGTCAAGGAGGGTTTTCTGGTCCCTGTAGCTGCAGGCTGGAGTACTAGGCAGACCTCTGGATAAAGCAGCGAGCAGCAGTCTAAGGCAAAAAGCCCACAGGCTCTCCTAGACTCTGTAAGGACTTGAATACATTTCTACAAGTCAGGAAAAACTGCCTCAGGGAATTAGAAAGGTAGATCAGTGGAGAGGGGAAAGTTGAAAAATACCTCTTGCCCTTCCTATCCAGGTGAAAAGCTTGCTTTGGGGGATGGGGGCGGGCGGGGGTGTTTAGAAACCTTGAATGTAAGAGTCCTAGAAAAAGTAGGTGTAGACCTCTCCAGCCTGGACCGAGTCTAGTGGAGGGCAGAAACTACTTCTACCCCAGAACAAAGAATAGGAAAAATGTGTTTAGAGAAAAACAATGCTAACACAGGACTGCTAAGTCAAGCAACCAGGGCAATGGCCAGCTAATAACTCTTGGCTGCTTCATTGAGTCATAAGCAGCCATTTGATTATGAATGAACTCCTATGGCAGTGTTCCCAGTTAAAAACTGGCCCTTAGCTAGTTTTAGCTAACTCCACCCACAATATCATCTGTGACTGCATGGGAAAAAGACTCCCAAAATGGTCTGCTGAACACCATCACTGGGCTCATTATGGTCTTTAATAAGAATAACTTTATGATGATATCATTTCTAATGATGATGATGATGACAGCAACAATAGTACTTGGCCCTGTAAGAGCCGTCTCCATCTGAGGACCTTCCATTACAAAGATTCAATCAGCCTCCCAACAAACCCGTTAGGTAAAGTTATCATTATCCCCCATTTTACAGACGGGGGAACTGAAGCAGAGTGGCAGAGACTTGCCAAAGGCACATAATGATGCTGGAGTCAAAGGAGAGAACTAACCCTAAAAGTCCCGACTCCTAGTTGGCTAGCTCTCCGTCCAGTTTTGAGGAAATCTAATAGCCACTCCCCACAACTTCATCATAGTAACCTGAACTTATTTCTGACACTCAGTCACTGAAGGAGCAATCCTAACCAGTGATTCTGTGTGGATGTCTGGCTCCATTTCTCTCAGTCCTAGAAAGAGGGCAAAGCCAAGTCTATTTCCTGTGGCATTTATACTTCTCTTAGATTCTACTCTAACAAACACTCTATTCTGCTTCCTCTAGGACTTCAGCTCTACACACAAGGAAATGGAGTCACATTCCTGATAAGAAGTTAATTTCCCAGGACAAAGAAACAGACTGAAGCTAACAGGTTAAAAGAAAAACATGCAAAAGTGGAGGGTTGGAATGGACAGGGAGGACCTTCTTGTTCAGTGAAATTATCTTTAAAACAAGCAAGAAAAAGGAGAGCGCTTTGTCTTTCATTTTAAGTCAGTGGTTAGCCAATGAAAGACAAGACAGCCCATGGAAACAAAGCAAGCCCAGGCACTGCAACTGGGATTCTGCAGAGGGGTTCTCTCTGACACAGTGAGGTAAGCAGGAAGCCTCACCAGCAAAGAGCTGCTACAAGTGGCCAAAAGCATTAGAGGGGGAGCCTGCTCTGTTCTTTTTCCACAAGTCAGTCTCCTGTACGATCTTATTCCTCTGGACCCAGCTAAGAACCTACTTCTGCTAAGGTTAGGGATATGCACCCCAAAGCCCCCCCAACACGTACTTGATGCTGTCGGTGTGGGTTTTGTATTCCATAATGGTGTTGGGAGGTAGGTTAAGCACTCGCCGAAGTGTATCCCGGATTCGGGCTGTGGTTGCTTGGTCGCTGGCAGTCTTATTCCATATTGAAATAATGTCCTCCTACAGGAGAACAGAGGGACTCATCAAAGCAAACCAGGGGCAGTGAGGAGAGCAAAGGCAACACGAAACCAGACCTGCCCACAGAAAGCTTACCTGAAACCGGACAGAGACTACAGCCCCACAGATCTCCTCCCCAACCATGAACTGTTCCCCCAACATGGCCAGGATGAGGTTCTCCCAGCAACGCGATGCCAAGCCCTTCCGCAGCCGAATAATCCACTTGCCACCATTTTTATTTGCATCATCCTATAAAACGACAGAAAGCATTGAAGTTAAAATATGGTTTCACAGCTTTCTTTCTTTCTTTTTTTTTTTTCCACGAACGCTAAAAGGTTTTGTCACTTTCCAATTATTCAACTTTACAGGAAAAATGTTAAGGAGAAAAGAGACAGAAAACAAAGAAAGACAAGGTGGAAATCCTTATACACACCATTACAAAAAAATGGCTGAATATATGATTTAAAAAGAATATTGTCCAAGAATTAAAAAAATAAAACATAAAAAAAAAGAATTCTGCCCTGGCCAGATGGCTCAGTTAGTTGGAGCAACACCCTGTACACCAAAAAGACTGCAGGTTCAATTCCCGGTCAGGACACATAACTAGGTTATAGATTTGATCCCGGTTGGGGCATGTACAGGAGGCAATCTATCAATGTTTCTTTTTCACAACAATGTTTCTCACTCTCCCCCGCCCTTCCTCTCTCTCTAAAATCAATAAACACATATTCTCAGGTGAGAATTAAAAAAAAAAATCATTTTTTTGAAACTACTTTAGCAATCAAAATGAAATATCAGATCTCAAACACAGATCATGCCTCACTTTTATTATTATTTTCATTCCTCACTTTGTTTGCTAAGAGTTTACCAAGTGTCATCATGTCCCAAATACACAAATGGGAAACCACAGTCTCTCCCAGACTCAGTTTAGTTGAAAAAACAGACAAGGCATTAATTACATCAGGACAGTCTGTCGCGCATTGCCATATCAGAGGTATGCACAGTAAATTAAAGAATGAGACCTCTAAAAAGATTTTTAAAAGAATGAGACCTCCAAAAAATACTCAGGAAGAGGAAACATTTAAGCTGGGTCTTGAGGGGCACAGGAGTCAGGCAGGCAGAGCAGGTGAAGAGGCTGCAGGCACTGGGAAGAGCATGAGTCTGCGCAGACTCTGAGTGTGAGATGGAGGTAGTCAAAGGAAGGTTCAGCAGCACCAGAGGGAAGATGTGGAAATGATGGGAGACGAGGCCTAAAAGGTACACTGTTGCTCAAGATCACGTGAGCAACAGAGAGCTGCATAACATGTTTAATTTTGTGGGTGGGTGGGAGGGAACGTGTGATCACATTTGTCTTCTAGAAAAATGCCATGGTATCAGAATAAAAGATGGATTTCAGCAAAGCAAAGAGATCAGCTCTTTGGGTCTCCAATTAGTGCCTGTAAGCTTATTTTTTACCCACTTTAATAATAAGTACACTAAGGTAATATACTACACACTCAGCCAGTTCTATGGGAATAAGGGGGGAAAAAACAGCCCAGCCATTCTGGCTCAATGGCTGAACGTTGACCTATGAACCAGGAGGTCGGGGCACATGCCTGGGTTGCAGGCTTGATTCCCGGTGGGGGATATGCAGGAGGCAGTCAATCAATGATTCTCTCATCATAGATATTTCTATCTCTCTCCCTCTCCTTTCCTCTCTGAAATCAATAAAAAACAAGTATTTTTAAAAAATTAAATAAAATGAAACCTATCCTTTAATGTTGTTACATACCATTTTAGTGATGAAATAATCTTTCAAAACCACTCAGCACCAACCCACCCAGACAAACAATGGCACTAGTATCTTTTCCTGGAAGTCCCAACTCTTAAGGATGTACCAAACAGTAATGCAGTTTTGAAAGAAGGCTTTAAAGTACTTTTAACCTTGGCAGGGCTAGACTCCCCATCGCCCCCCAAAAACCCCTCATCTTGCTGAGGCCCTTAGTCCTCACCTCCCACATGGGTTTAATTCCTTCTTTGAAGAGATGAAAGTCACTGTGGCCTGTCAGGTCCCCAGGACGTACCATGTGGCTGTAAAACCTCCAGAATTGCTCCACCTGTGAAGAGAGGGCCCCAGAGTACAGAAGATGTGACCTTTCTTTTTCTTTGATTGAATGCAAGACTTATCTAAGAGAAAAGCATAAACATGGAAGACATACTGTTACAAGCTATACTTTGAAAGGATACATATTCATTTGGAGGACTGTGTGGGAGGAAGGGTGTGTTAGATGAAAGCATATGGTATAGCTGGATAAAAGAAAAACGTAATATTGCTGATACAAGAAAAACTCTAAGACCTCAGCCAGGAACATTGGCTAGTGAAGTCATGCCAGTCAATATGCATCCTCCCACAGAGGCCACAGGATAACCAGGACATGATGTGAGGACCTTGTTTTACATAATGGAAACTCTTTAGTTCTAAGATGTATTAAGTGCCACATAACCTGAGTCTAAATGCATTTTTTAGAACCAAATACTCTCTTTCTTTAAAAATATTTTTTTAAATTAATTTCAGAGAGGAAGGGAGAAGGAGAGAGAGAAACGTCAACGATGAGAGAGAATTATGGATCAGCTGCCTCCGACATGCCCCACACTGGGGATTGAGCCCACAACCTGGGCATGTGCCCTGACCAGAAATTGAACCGTGACCTCCTGGTTCATAGGTTGACGCTTAACCACTGGGCCACGCTGTTCAGGCCTAAATACCCTCTTGATCAAAGACTGTTTATTCAAATACAGCATTAGCTACAGTGAAATACATTTTAGTTCTACTTAGTTACTGAGCAGTGATAAAATCAATCCCATGCAATATGCTGCATCATGGTGCCTTTCTAAGGACAGGACAGTCTAAAACCAAGTAGGACTTAGCCTCTAATACTTAGGGTTTAAGTCCCTCTTCTTCTCATATATATGTATATTTCAATTACAGTTATATTCAATATTATCTTGTATTAGTTTAAGGTGTACAGCATAGTGATTAGACAATCATATACTTTACCAAGTATTCTCCCTGTATCCATCTGGCACCTTACACGTTTAGTACAATACTAGAGGCGTGATGCACGAAATTCGTGCAAGAGTATGCCTTTCTTCCCAGACTGCTGGCACTGGCTTCCCTCTGGCATCCGGAACCCGGGCTTTCCTCACAGCCCAGCTTGGTCCAGAAGGACATCTGGTCTAATTAACATATTATGCTTTTATTATTATAGTTGGTTTTTTTTAACTATATTCCTAATGTCATACTTAACATTGCTGTGACTATTTTGTAACTACCAATTAGTACCTCTTAATCCCTTCAACTTTTTTACCCAATCCCCCTACCCTTCATTCCTCTGACAAACTTTAGTCTGTTCTCTTTAAGTCCCTCTTCTTACCTAGAAATCTATGTTTCTCCTTGCCGCTCTTTCAAAGTCTTGTTAGAAAAGCTGACACCCTTCTCTCGCAATTGCAGACTTATTTATACCCATCATGCTAGTCCTTACTGTTCCTCTCAGTGATGCCTTGCAACATGAATTTCCTATCCCTGGCTCACAGAGGACACCTACAAAGTACTGGCCAGTGAAGAGGCACACTTTAGGAGGAAAGAGAAGATGTACAACAGTCTGGAGAGAAACAACTTCTATTGCCAACTCACTGCCCAGGAGGCTCTAGACAGACACACAGCAAGACACCAGAATTGTGCAGCTGAAAATGAAATAGAGATTCAGGTCATATTTCTAGATCTGGTTAGCAACTAAGAAAGAGACCTTACACTGCGTACAATGGCTACTCCGTCAGTCCTCTAAGAACAGGAGCACAGGCAGTGTCTCATGTTATAAAGAAGTTAGGAATGAGCACCATTTATAGGACTTTAATGCAGTCTCTCATATCAGCAACTCCTATGCTTAACTGTATGAGGGATAGTAAATGGTCAAATGTATGCAATGAGCAATAATCTTCCAACCTGAACACAGTGGGGAAAAATAAGGTACATCAAGTAGAAACTGTGTCTCACTGTAAAATAGGAATTAGAGAGGGACTGTGGGGTAGAAACATTCCCCAATTCCTCAATCAAGCACTGCTTCATTAATGATTTGGCCCTCTCCAATCTTACAGCCAGACGGTACAATTGTACAGTCACAATCTTATATCTATATTCATGAGAAATGAAGTAGACAGCTCAAGAAATATTATTAAACTTTAAAAGACGTTTCTCCTTCTCTTTAGGCAATTTTGGTTTCTGAAATTCTTTATTGAAACAACAACAACAACAACAAAATAAGTGTTCAGACTCAAAATATGAGGTGCAGAAAAGACCTCAGAACTACCTCACTCATTTTATAGTTGAGAAAATGGCTTCAGAACTTGCTTCAGCCCACAGAGTCAAGCACCAGATAAATGAGCCTTGCCACCCCCAAATCCAATGTTCTTCCCATTTTAAAACACTGCCTTTTAGTCACCCTGATTTTAAGAACTTTTACCAGTTAAATACTAGGATTAAAGACAAATGGAAATACTGCTTTGGATTTAATAAAAGATTTCACAATGTAATTATTTCTCTGTGAGAGTTTAATTCTGTGAGGTTTTTCTTAATGCTGTGAATTACATGACATCTGACTTCAAACACTGTCACACATCAAGTGAGTACTGAAGAAATTTGAACCCCAGATGATGCTCATGGCCAACTCTATTCAACGTACCATATATGCCAAAAGAGAAAGCAAAACCCTCCTTTCCCAAGCTGGGTAACTTCACATATGCTTTCTTTAAGAGGAAAACAAAAGTGCTATAAATATTGGTAACTACTACAAAATAACTGAACAGAATCCTGAATGAAAACTTACTCCCCAGAACAGTGTCTTCTCTGATCCTCCAAATGCTCTACCAGATGTTCATAAATAAAGGCTGCTATTTTACCTATAAAGGTCATTCCATTCCCATATAGCAGGTAATAAAATGTTTGTGATAGATTCAGAGATGTTAGGACTACAGTTTGGACCCCTGAACAACATGAGTTTGTTTGAACTCCCCGGGTTATTTGAAAAAACAATGTAAGCGGACTCTCCTTGTGCTTCCCAATAGCAATTCTGTCTCCCTGTGTTAGAATTCCTAGCTACGTCTTATTTCCCTAATGACAAAGGAATTAATTCATTTTAGAACCCTACTAGTCCCTTGAATTCATTCAACAAACAATTCTTGAACCAAATATGCACCAGTGCACAAGCTATTTTTGATATTTCAAAAAAGCCTAAATTTACCAGTCTTAAAGGAGCATATATCAACTCAATATAGTAATGGGATGACCTGATTACCAGTTATATGTGCAGTATATTTGATCAATAATAAATAGATTGCCAAGACTGGTTTGGCTCAGTGGATAGAGCGTCGGCCTGCAGACTGAAGGGACCCAGGTTCGATTCCGGTCAAGGGCATGTACCGTGGTTGTGGGCATATCCCCAGTGGGGGGTGTGCAGGAGGCAGCTGATTGATGTTTCTCTCTCATCGATGTTTCTAACTCTCTATCCCTCTCTCTTCCTCTCTGTAAAAAATCAATAAAATATATTTTTAAAAAATAATAATAATAGATAAATAAATGTAGCTTGTCTAGCACGATGCAAACATTTAAAAAACTGAAGGCTCATGTCATGCATTCTGGTATATTGGAAAGGTGAAAGAATATGGGCTTTGGAATGGGGCTTTTACAGGCTGCCAAACCTGAGTTTCAACACTGGTTCCTCCACTTAGTCAAGAAAATTACAAGTGACTTGACTTTAGATCAGATACTTAACCCAAGTTTCCCTTTTCTCATTTGTAAAATATGGATAACATCACTGATCTCAAAAGGCTATAATAAGCTGAAACCGGTTTGGCTCAGTTTGATAGGGCGTCGGCCTGCGGACTGAAAGGTCCCAGGTTGGATTCCAGTCAAGGACATGTACCTTGGTTGCTGGCACATCCCCAGTAGGGGGTGTGCAAGAGGCAGCTTATTGATGATTCTCTGTCATCGATGTTTCTAACTCTCTATCCCTCTCTCTTCCTCTCTGTAAAAATCAATAAAATATATTAAAAAAAAAAAAAAGGCTATCATTAGGATCAAAGGAAGTTACATAAAGTGTCTTTTCTCCTTATGACTTTACTGTAACATTTACTGCCTATTAAAGTTTCCTTTTCCAGTATCTGCATTTTAAACAAGGCAGATACCCCAACAATTTCAAAAAAATAACAACCCTCCCCCCATTTGATTCTTCCCAGAGATACAATGTATAGCACATAGGAAGTACATAATCTGTGTTGAACAAGACAGCTTCTTAGGGAAGACAAACCTAGCTATCTATGAAGGTGATAAGACAGAGCCTGGGCTCCCTGTTCTGACAATACCCACAAAAACAATTAGAGACTTCCTTTTCATGCTGAAGACAGGAAAAATATGGTATTTTATACATAATTATAAACAGATCCAAAATCCTAATGAAAGGGTCTTAAATACAAAGGAAACTTTTGAACTTTACTCTTGACTTAACCATCATGCTTCATGAGAATAGATACCATGTACTATAAAATTTTCGCCCTGGTTGGCATGGCTCAGTTGTTTGGAGCATTCTCACATGCACCGAAGGGTTCAATTCCTGGTCAGGGTGTGTATGGGAGGCAGTCAATTGATGTTTCTTTCCTCCTCTCCCTTCCTCTCTAAATTAAAAAAAAATTATATCTCCACCCACCCCTGGACACTGCACATAGTGAGGACTCACTAAATATCTACTTAAACAAACCTGTATTTTTATATTGTCCCTTTCTGATCAATTCCACAATTAAACACTAATACCTATGGATATCTAATGAGAAACCTAAGAATGAACACATCTGACCTCGGGGACTCAGGTCAGCTGACTAAGGAAATCAGAATCCTAGAGGTTACCAGGAGGATAAACAAACATGATAAAAATACAGGCATAAATTTACTACTGAGGCTCACTAAGTACTCACAGAAGCAAAGGTGCCAATCTGTTTGATATTCTGTTCATAGCTCTGTGAGCTGGTGGGTCGGCCGGGGGTTCTCCTGGAGTACCAGAAAGTGTAGTTATACTGCAGGGGATGCTCTGCTGGTCCCGGGACAACAGCCTGTACATTAAAGGTGTGTTAGTCCTGGCCATTTATCACATGCTCTGAGAGTGAGAAAACATTTTATAGCATCACCCTTACCACCTCCCCAATTTAAAAAGGGTACATGCTCACCCTAACTGGTTTGGCTCAGTGGATAGAGTGTCAGCCTGGGGATTGAAGGGTTCTGGGTTCAATTCCAGATCAGGTTACATGAATAGGTTGCAAGCTTGGTCCCCAGTGGGGAGTGTGCAGGAGGCAGCTGATCAATGATTCTCTCATCATTGATGTTTCTCTCTCCCTCTTCATTCCTTTCTGAACTCAATAAAAATATTTTAAAAAATTAAAAAAATAAATACATACTCAATTACTTGCAATGTGCTCATGATTCTGTTTACACAGTAAAATTCTGTAGTAGTTAATGGATTCTAAATTCTTGTAACATTTTACCTATGTTCTTATAGCTTTTGTAACTTTCTACGGTATACGTATTTATGTTTGTATATTATCTGTATATATTCCCAGGTCCAGCACCACTTTCTCTATGCCAATATAGCTTATTGGCTAGTGACCTAGAACAAGTTGTTTAACCTGTCTATGCTTAGCTACACATCTGAAAAATGGGGTAATCATCATCTCACATGGGTGTTGAGAGGATAAAATAATTTAACAGAAATAAAGTGCTTAGCCCAGTGCTTGATACATAAGAAGTACTCAATAGCCAGGCCAACGTGGCTCACTGGTTGAGTGTCGACCTATGAACTAAGATCAGGGTTTGAGTCCCAGACAAGGCACATGCTCAGGTTTCGAGCTTGATCTCCAGTGTGTCAGCTGACTATGGAATCCAGAATCCAGAATCTAGGAGGCAGCTGATCAATGATTCTCTCACTGAGGTTTCCATCTCTCCCCCTCCCTTTCCTCTGACTGAAATCAATAAAAACATATATTTTTTTAAAAAGTACTCAATAAATGTTAGCTACTATTATTACGACCATTAAGTGTTAGCTCCCTGATCCATTGAAACTATGGATTGACCTTTGTGTCCTCTTAGCCCTGAAATGCTTGTATTTGGAGGGTACAAAATATTGCAGAATAAAGCAATTAATGATTGCTTTTCAATAAAGAAGTTGATCCATCTATTTCTAGTCTCTAAATTTTTTCTTTTCCAAGTCATTTTAGTTTAGACTATTACTGACTAAAGAGTCTAAAATTTCAAGGGATGTACAGGATTTTAAATACTCAGCAGCAGATTATGAAGCAAATAACACCTTGTTATCGGCAGGGTTATTCTCCCCTACCTCAAGCTAGCAGAATGCTGGAAAGCAAGGAGGCATCTCAGAACTGTGGTAAGGGAACAGTTCTGAGTCCCAAAATTAACTCCAATGATTCAACAATTTTTTCTTGAGAACAAAATCTGGTTTTACAAAATAGTGTGTAATTGTTAACCTGGTATCTTCCAGACTGCATGAGATAACCAAATTTTGAGTCCCAACTCACCTTCCTCTTACTGCTGCTCTGACTTTTGTCCCGTTCCATTTTTTCCTTCTCACCATCTTTCTGTGTGCTGTTTTCTTCATTCTGATCATGGTCACCACTGTCATCATCTTTCAATCTAAGTAGAAAGGCAAAATAGTGTTACCTCATGACTGAACTGATTCTTGCTTACCTAACAAAGCCACCAGGTCAAATGAACTACCATGGGAAAAACCCATAAGTCACTCAAAATACTGGCAATGAGATGAGAGAAGGGCAAGTCAATTAGGAAGATTAAACAAAAATAAAATGGCCATTAGCTAATGTGTGAATTCCAAAAAGCATCCTCTTCCAGTTTCAGAACAGGCTGCACAAAGAAAAAAAGAGATAAACAGCTTAAGAACTGTTTTCTTGACCAAAAATAAAGAGTCAATAATCAGAAGAGTTTCTGGATTAAGTAACTGCTTTGGTACTTCAAATGAAGTTTTAAAACTTACCTATCCTAAGCTCATATTTGGAGCATCGGACCTTGGACTGAAGAGTCGAAGGTTTAATACCTTGGGTTGAAGCCTTGATCCCCGGCCTCCTGGGAGGCGCATATGGGAGGCAACCAATCAATAGGTCTCCCCCCATCTCTCTAAAAAAAAAAAATCAATGGAAAAAATATCCTCAGGTGAGGATTAACAAAACAGAAACAAATAAAAAAACTTACCTACCTATTCTTCTTGTTCTGACCATCTCTCATATCCTTCCCAACTGTTACTGCTTTAGTCAGGCCCTCTTCTTATCATCTCAATTATTATAATAATTCCTAAATGGTTTTCCAACACAAACTATAACTTCCCTCTATCCATCTTCCACATAGCCACCAAATGATCTTTCCAAATGCAAACAGTCCATTTAAGTTCCATGCTTAAAACTCTCAACTGTCCCTTGCCCTTTGCTGCCCACCAGGAAGGATAAAGTACAATTAAATGCAAGATCCTTTAGAATTCGACTCCTGCCTGCTAGCACCACCCTCCAAAGCATCTATATTCCACATCTGTGCTCTTTGCAAGCACTTCCTCAGCCTAAAGTGCCATTCCTCCCACATCTGTTTTTCCTACTAGATGGAAAGATCCCTTAGAACAGTATCTTACTAATCTTTGTATATCCAGCACCAAGGGGAGGAAGATGCTGAATGATAAATGGGGGGGAAATGACTGAAAAAAGAAATAATGACTTCTTGCCTATAAGTATGATCAAATATACTTTAGGAGCTGCTGTTTTAAGAGCAGTGAAACTACCCTAACGCTTTCAGGTACAGCTAAAGTTCACTGGATTCAGACAAAAAAATAAACAGAAAGTGAGTTCACAAAGTTAATTAGAATGCTGTTTAGTCTAGAGCTGGGTCTTCTCCGAAATCACCTTTCTGTCCCTAATGACTATCTAGTCAAATGGAATTAGACAACTTTCAAGAAAGATATTAGAAATGCTCAAATTATAACTCAGATATTACCCTACACAGACACAAAAACCTTTTGTAAAGCACCCTTTTTTCTCCTGCCCATGTATCTTTACTGCCTGGCACATAAAAAGCATTCAATAAGTGTTAGAATTCATGAGCTTGCCAAGTGTTGTAGAATATACTCAGGTGGGCAGGCACTGTACCATAAATATTCCCATCCCCATCCTGGACAAGACATGACTCTGAAGGGAACCTGATTAAAGGGCAGTCTAGCCTGGCCACTAACCTATGCCTCAAGGCCTTGCTCAAAATGGCTAGATTCCTTCCTCAGCTTTTCATACAAAAGATGAATGATCAGAGTCAGAGCTGGGGCAGGCATATAGGTCTTACATAAGAAAAGCCGCAAAATAAATAATAAATTAAAAAAAAACAACAACAAAAAACAATGAGCAAAGGCAGAGAAAGCCAATTGAGCAGAGGAGCAAAGAGAGTAGAGACTGGCTTTGATTGTGATGCTATTATTCCACTGGCTTCATTTGGCCTCCCTGGACTTCTGGGAAACCATTTTCTGTGCTATGATACACTTTCCCTTATGAAACTTTCTGAAAGCAGCCTGTGTAGCACACAAGTCCCACAATACCTACCGAGCACCTACTGCTGGTATCAGACACTAGAGTTTCTGGTCCCCAAGGACCTGAGGACACACACACACACACACACACACTCGGGCCTCAGCATGGCACAAAGGACCCTCCTCTCCCTACATGTGCCAATATCATCTCCTGCCGGGTCCTGACTAGCTCCTTTCGCTGTAGTAGTGATCAACCTATTTGCAGTTCCCTGACCTCACCCGTTATGCTCATTATGTGGTCTCTTCTTGGAGAACCCTCTCCCCTACCTACACTGTCCCTCCGGACTGAGTGAGGAGCACTTTCTCTTGGAAATCTTTCCTAATCTCTCCCTAGGCTGAGCCTAGGCACCCCCCTTCTGGACTTTCCCTAATAAATGTTTGCCCTTGTCCCAGCTATGTCATGGCCAGTTTTTTGTCTCCTGATTAAGAACATTGGTTTTTCTATTGCTTAGATCCAAGGTAGTTCCTAACTCTCTTCCTTAGGACAGACTCCAGGGACTCAAACCATTTTCCTCTTTTCTCAGCTTCCAAACATCCTCGCTATCCTCTGGGTTCCCATGCCTTAAGTCTTGGTTGAAGAGGGACCCAGTTAACCAGCATCTCTCATTTTGCTATTCCAATCAAAGCATCTAAGTTTCTTTGTGGCGGTTTTGCTGCTAATCACTACTAGAAAACAGAAAAACAACAACAAAATAATTATGTCAAGAAAAAAATAACACTACTGTGATCCCTGAACTGTATTTTCTGACTCCCTTCTAAGACAGTCATTGGAAACCCTACTGGAGCTTCATCCTGTGCAGTTATCTCTTGAGGGTGGAGCTAACCTGCACTTTTAAGGCAAGTTATTTGCATCTTATCTTCCAGAGTTACCCTTCCTAATGTGAAGCTAAATTTGAGCCAAAATATGATCCAGACTGAAAAATCAATGCTCCCTAGACTCAGGTGGCAATTAATATCTCTGAAGCTGTCCAGACCGAGTTGCACCTAAATAGCTTACCAAGCTCTTGCTCTGCTATGTCCCCATACTTTCTGACTAGACAGATTCTTGTGGGTAAGGACTTGGTCTAATTCATTTTTATATGTATAGCATCAGAAAGATGTTTAGTGAATGGATTTCTAAAATCAAAGCAATATAAGTCAGAATGCAATGAATACCAAATAAGTAGTTCAGACAATAGTTAAGAAAGAATGGGCTAAAAGCTAACAAAGACTGAGGAACAGCATCAAGTTTGGCATCTAGATCTGAAAACCAAGTTATCACAGTTGGGACTGCAATACAGCGAAAGCACCTTAGGGCTCTGCATATGAATAGGATTAATGGCAATGGTAGCTAATGACTTGTTAGATGTGTGTGTATGGGGGGAGGGTGCAATTATAGTCTTAGATTACATTCCTAGAAGTGGAGCCCACACCATAAAGGAGGCTTCAGTTCTTCATTGATCAGAGCCCATCAGATTAGACTACAGTACTTAACTCCAGGCACTGGGTTTTTAGGATTCTGACAAATTGAAACAAGTCTTAGGAATCGTGGTGAAGAGTGCAGAAACCAAGTATGTAAGGTCTAAAAACTGTAGTTTTTGTAAAACAAAACAACAACAACAACAAAAAACTACAACAAAACTAGGGGTATGAGTGCTGTTTTCAATCGCTAATTTCAAAGGAAAGAAAGCTTTGGGTTTTTCCTGCGTAGCTAGAAGACAGACGTTAAAATATTCTGGATCAGTGTAAGGAATAGTTAATAATTAGAACAAATTAAAAATGACCCAGGTTAATTTTTGTCAAGAGGTGCTTGAACCAAGGTTAAAGAAATCTGGATTTGAAACTTTTCACATGGACTTTTCTGTTGCTGTGGCAACTTACTTAACCTCAAAGCAGCTTATTTTCCTTATCTGTCTGTAATAGGAGGTAACAAGATCCCCTTTGTAGGGTTGTTAGGAATAGAAAAAATATATGAAGAGTATCTACCAAGCTGCCTTGAGAAACCATCATTAACATTCTTTAATTAACTTACTGCAGACCTCCAATGGGTAGGACCATGCAGATGATCCTTAAAGTATCTAAGGATAAACTTTTTATTTGTTCAATTCAGTGGAGGAAGGAGTACAGGAATGGCAGACAACCCCACTGAGGCAGATCTTAGATCTGGCACTAGGGGTGGCAAGGTTTATGATGGAGAAGGGGTTAGTGAAGGGATGGACACAGCTAAGCAGTTGGCTACAGAAGTTTTCTGCCAAAGACTAGAAGAGTCCTCTCCCACCTCTCTCATCTGGTTCATAGTTCGAAGCTCAACCACTGGTTCAGTGGTTGAGCATCGACCTATGAACTATGAACCAGATTCCCAGTCAGGGCATCTGCCCAGGTTGCAGGCTTGATCCCTGATCATACAGGAGGCAGTCAATCAGTGATTCCCTCTTGTCATTGCTGTTTCTCTCTCTCTGAAATCAATAAAAATCCTACATAAGAAATGGTGGAAAAACTGGTTGCTGTGTTCGCACTGACCACCAGTGGGCACACACTCAACACAGGAGCCGCCCCCTGGTGGTCAGTACACTCCCACAGGGGGGGGTAAGAGGGGTTGCCACTCAGCCAGAAGCCAGCCACTGGAGCCTTTCCCGTTTTTTAATGGGAGTCAGGCACCCCCCCCCCCCCCCCCCCCCCGCCAGGGCTCCTGAATACGAGGGGGCCTGAGCTGAGGGACACCTCCCCCACTGCCCAGGGCACAAAATTCGTGCACAGGGCCTCTAGTGTTTTATAAAATGAGTCCTCACCCCACAATCAAGAAATGTTTTTGAGGAGCTGTCTGGAGTGCTGGAATCCATGACCTCTAAATATGCACATCGGCACTCATTGTACTGGGGAAAAACAATTCCCCATCAGCAGCAGCCGGTCACAACCTAAACTAATAGTAATTTTACTTTGCATTTATACATCACCATGTAGCAATTTACAAAACACCCTCCCTTAAGCAAAGCTGAAACTGATCTGACCCTTCTAACACCCCCTGTGCGGCCGCAGGGCAAGAAAGTGGCTCAGAGATTAGGAAACTTTTCTGCTGTCAAGTAACTGGTAATCGGTGGGTCTGGGGCTGGAAATCTGGGTCTTCGGAAGAGCAGACAGATTTACTAGCCTACTTAAAAGAGAGCTAAGAACATATCTACCTAAAGGCACAATCGCTGCAGGGAAATATGGAAAATTACTTTGCATTTCCTTTCTGCATCTCCGCAGTCTGTTGCTTGGAACAAGGAATCCAACAGGGTACAAACTGAAGTCGAATAGGGGCCTGGACAAATACGCCCGCTGGGCAAGAAACTGAGAAGCTCCGGGAGAGTGTGGGAAGGGAAAAGGAGGGGGAGGAGAGAGGAAGTAGGAAGGAGTCTCAGGAAGACGACCAGAGCTGTTTCACTGAGCAGCAGCCACGTTACCTCACAGCATCTGCACTGCTCTGGGCACGGGCTGCTACCGTCCCCCTGCGCAGAGGAGAAAGCTGGGACTCAGCAGAGATCACCTGCCCAGGCCGGAAGGAGGAAAGCTGGATCAGAAATTCAGAAGCGGCCGGCTGAGGGAACACCCCTACCCCTCCACGCCGCTAGCAACCCGCACCCGCCGGGGCGGAGCGTCCGAAAATAATCTTCCGGGCGGCGCAACCACCCCTCTCTCGTCCCCAGGGCTCGCCCCGGTCCCGACTGCCTTGGGGTCCCCGGAACCCTAGCATCCCGCCTTCCCGCCGGCCGCCGGGGCGGTCTCCAGCCCCAGCCCGCGCCCGGGAGGGAGCCCGGACGCCGCGGGGTTGGCGCCGCCGCCAGGCGCGGCCGGGACGGGTGCGGGGAACCGTTGGGGGGGAGGGGAAGGGGCCCCGGGAGGCGGCCGCACGCCACTCACGCGTCGAACTTGTTGTTCATCCTCTCGCCGTCGCCACTGCCTCACGGAGTGACTTCCGCTTCGCTGGTCCCTCCGCCTAGGGCCCGGCCACTTCCGGTTGCGCGGGGAACCGCGGAACGTAGGCTCGCGGGCCCGGTGGGGGGCGGATATCCCGGGACGCCGGGCCAGGGCGGCTGCGCGGACGGGCTCGGGCTCGGGGACGGCGGCGGCTGCTGAGGTCTGACGGGTCCCAGGCGGCCGCCCGCCCCTTGGCTCCGAGGAAGCTCTCCCCGCCCGAGGCGTCGGGCGCCGACCCCTCCCGAAGCCCCGGGAGGGAGATCGCGAAGGTGCGGGCTCTGCACTCCCCTGGGCACAGATCCCGACCCCACCCCAGAGCGGGCTGAACGATCCCGGACTCAACCTCCCCCGGGCAGTTTTTGCCTCTTTGTTACTGGCGATGCTAATACGATAGCGCCTGCCTCTTCGGGTTGCCGGGTGGATTGAACAGGATAATCAATTCAAGCGCTAGCAAAGTGACCCTAAAGAAGTGGTAGTTGTTGATCATTGCTTACTAGGGCCAGGAGCTACGGAGCTCATCCCTGCCCCCAGAAGCTGTCAGTGAAGCCCAGAGACTCATCCCAGGTGACGAGGCTAGCAAGGCTTACAGGGACCAGAGCTGGTTCCACCACCATCAGATTGCCTCCTGAGTTAAGTCTCCGCTCCAAACACAGCGGGTGCACACACGCACACACGCACTGGAGTAAAGGAAACGAACCTGCTGGTGATTGAGCCCCAAAGCCAGCAACCCGGTAGCTGGGAAAGGGGGTTATTTCCGGGATCCTCTTCCCGCCCCCAACAATGTTTCATGGTCAGGTCTTTATATGGCACTTACACATTTTTTAATCACCTTCACACACACCTTTGATCTTGTAATGATCCTAAACTGATATCTGAGTCCACAGTTAGAGATGAGGCAACAGAGGCTCAGGAAGCACAAATGACTTGCTTAAGTTTACCCTCTTATCACCAACAGAACTCACGCCCCATTGTACTCTCAACACGTGGCCTTGCCTCTCTCCCAGGAAGATGTCAGCTAGTCCTCTTGTTTCCCAAGTGGGGTCAGGGGAGACTGAAGGCAGAGCCCAGCAATTCTCTGTTACCTCCCAGCCTCCTTCCTTAGCTTTTCCTTAACCATTTTTGTGGGACCAGTGCAAATTCCCTGGCTTTTGAGAAGAGAAAGGAGGCAGGGGTCTGTTTTCCAGGCTGTGGAATCTTTCTTAAAGTGTCTAAGATTGGGTCAGAGTTGGGATTTCTGTACTCCAAACCATAAAGCAACCAGCATTCTGGGAAGCCACTCTTACTGGGCTCCAATTTGCCCATCTGAAACGTTAGGTGTATAGTGACTCTTGCTTTCTGTGATGCTGTGAGGAGCTCTTAACAATGGGAAAAGATACTAAAACTCATGAAATATGTTGTAATCAATGGCAAAAAAAATGCATATGAATAGAAAAATCACTGATACCGATGAATACTGGGTGCAGCAAGGCAGGGGAGGGAGATGCCAGCTGGGGTGAGCTGCCATCTTCTTTTGAGAGATCACTGACTGCGATTCTTCACATTTCTCTGGATGTCTCTCTTTAAAGAGCTTGTAGGGAGCTCATAAAAAGAAAGGGAGGCCCAGGACTGGAGGGATAAGACCTTACTTAGTTGGGGGCATCATGCAAAATGGAGTCGTTAGGATTTCAAAAATTCTGAGAGTTGATAATGTTTTGCCACTGACCCTTCCCCAATTCCCCCATAGCACACCCTGCCCACAGCCCATCTTCAACCATTCCAAGACTCCGGCTCTGTCTTTTTATTTCTCCAGCTTCCTCAGGGCTTCCACGGCCCCGAAGGATGCTTCCCCAAGGGCACACTCATGACCTCAGCAGAAGAACACAGCTGGTCATTCTCTGGGTGGTTAACAGCAATTGGTTGACTCAGTCAGGCGAGGGCAGGTAGGGGTGAGGGTCTCCGGGGAATGGCAGGGCGGGCACCCGGTTGTAGTGCGCCACGAAGAAGATGCCGGCAGTGCCACAGACAAAGAGGGAGAGCATGACCAGGAAGCAGACGCGGTCCAGCACACGGCCCACTAAGAACCACTCCTCGTTCCCCTGAGGGTGGAGGCAGAGTGTGGCATGACCAGCGGTGGCCAAAGCCTGCCCTGGACCCTGAACCGTCCCTGGCCTTCCGGCAGGCCTCCATTCTCCTTTTCTTTGGGCCCTTCTAACCTACTTCCAAGTTTCAACTTGGCTTCTTCCATAGTCCCCTGGCCCTGATGTCCCCCCTTCTCCCCAATCCCAACTCTACTTTTTCCACCCTGTTGCTCTACCGTGGTCACCCCATTCATCCTGCCCCCATGTCAGGTCCCAGCCCCTCACCAGGTACTCACAGCACCCTCCCACTCCCAGACTGGCTTACACTGTCAAAGTGATTCCGCTGGTGCTGGGCACGGGCAATGAAGTTGCAGGCTTCCACACAGGCCTGGATGGCTGGGGTAGCCTGCTTCAGACTCCCACACAACACCTGGCTCTGCCCAGGCTCCAGGCCTTTCTCTGATGAGATGAGAGGGTCAGGTTGGTGAGTAGAATGGAGGAAAAAGGGGCTGAGAAGATGGCTTCTCCTTAAGAGACCCAGCCCCTCCCTCCCCAACCTGTACACTTGCCCCACACTCATCTGCAGGGCCTCCTGCTTTGGCCAGCAGACAGCCTTCCGTGTCTGGGGTCCACGGGGGGCAATGTCCCCAGGGTCACACCCCCTGCCTCACCTAGTTTCTCCAGCGCTGCCCTCACCAGCCCATTGCGCTGCCGCTGCCGGAAGAGGAGCTCACTGCGAGGCAGGCCGAGGGCCGCCTCCTCCCCACCTGAGACCGACCACCCGGAGGAGGAGCCATTCTGGAGCCTGGGCCGGGCATCCTGCACCGCCGCTGGGGCCAGCGGGCGCACATGCATCCGCAGCAGCTGGGGCAAGCGCCGCAGGAACACCTGCAGAAGGGGGTTCTGGGTGGTTTAGCTCCGCAGCCAAAGCTGGGCTTTGCAGCAGAAAATGCAGGTTGGCATGAAGGGCTCATGCTGCTAGACGTCAGGAGGCAGCACCTTAGTGGCAGAGGCAGTGGCGTGGCCCCGGTACAGCTCGGCTCTGCTGCCCCAGACATTGAGGCCGGGTCCCCAAACTCTTGTGCGCATCAGAATCACCAGGACACTTGTCCCAAACAGAGGTCCCTGGGCCCCACCCCCACTGTGCTGGCCCGGGATATGGCAGGGCCCTGGGAATCTGCATGTGTGACAAGGGCCCCCGCTGACTGCTGCAGGTCACACAAGCTCTGGAGCCAGACTGCCTGATCAGAATCCTGCCTCCTCCACTGTCTACCTGTGTGACCTTAGGTAAGCTACTGAACCTCTCTGGGCCCCATTTCCTCATCTGAAAAAATGGAGATGATACTAATACCCGCTGCAGAGAGGTTTTATCAAAGTTCAGTTAGCCTGCGTAATATGTCTGCCACTTGGTAAGCACTCGGTATTCCATGTTATTATTAACTCCTTTGGGCACATGCTTCAAAACACACGCAGCCCAGATTTGCTGCTGAACCTGGCATGTGAGAAATATGCACGGGGACAGGGGTGCCAAGGAAGGTGCATATCAGTGGGTGGAGCAGGGAGATGCCGGGAAGAGCAGGGAGGGACCTTGCCTTTCGGACGCCACGGGCCATGGAGTGTGTGTGGGGGGACCGCAAGGACACGTTGAGCACGACCACAGCATTCACAACAATGAGGATGGTCACCGCCAGGAGGAAGGTCAGGTACCTGCCGGAGGTGGGCAGGAGGCAGTGCTGGCCCTTCAGCACTACATGCCCAGATTCCAACCCCACCCATAGCGGCTGCTGCCCCAGATCCGTTGAGTGAGGGGCTGGCATTGAGAGGGAGGCAAGAGGGCAGTGCCCAAGAAGGGAAGGGGAGGAGGTGGGCGGCAGGGGTGAGAACTAGCCTTACTTGCTGATGAGTGGCACTGCCTGGGAGGTCTCAGGCACCTTCTTAGCCACGAGAAAGAGGAAGACCGTCTGGGCCAGGAGCACGTTGATGGCAACGGTACACTTCTGGCCGCCCGCTGTGGGGGACCGAAAGGCTCTCAGAGCAGGTCTCCGTCTCCCTGCTGTGGGGCACTCCCCCCACCCACAAGAAGCGCACTGCCCCAGGCCTGGCCGATTGCTCCCCGCCCACAGGCTCCAGGTACCCTTGGCGGGAAGGAAGTAGATGAGGATGGCGACGGAGGAGATGAGCACACAGGGCGCGATGATGTTGATGACGTAGAAGAGGGGCTTGCGCTGGATGAGCAGGTAGAAGACCACCTTCTGGTGGCCCGCCTCCTCTGCCGGGGCCGCAGTGTCCAGGAACATCTTGGCGGGCCGGTGCCGGATGGCCCACTCTCCATTCTCTGTGAGAGGCAGGCCAGGCGGGCAAGGCAGTGGGCTGGGCAGGCCCCTGCAGCCCTCTTGTGCCCGTAGAATTGCCATCGAGAGGCAGAAACAGTGAGGGAAATCAAATACCTTATCACCCCCCCACACACACAATGGCAGCCATCATCATGAGGAAAATCAGAGCTTTGTAGACCTCTAGAAACCCATTTGATGGTGTGCTTAGTTTTCGTCTGGAGTTACACGGGAGGGGGCATGATCCTGGTCCCGCCTTATGCCCACAGCTGGGTCCAGCAGGGGCCCCGGGTGGAGGTTACCTGTGAAGGCCTCAGGGTCGATGAAAATCCACTCGATGGTCTGACCATCTTCCTGGCTCAGCTGCAAATTGATCTCATTGGTGCTGTAGGTCTGGGACCTGGGGGACGGGGAGGGAGACAAGGTGAAGCTGGGTGTGTAGATCCACCTGTGAGGTATACAGTATAGTCATCTGTGGGCAGTTTTGCCTCAAAAAGTGCAGCCAGCCCTGGCTGTTGTGACTCAGGAGTGTCATCTCATATTCTGAAAGTTTGTGAGTCCCATTCCTGATCGGGG